CAGCTCTCAGTCTCAGTTTCCTTATCTGTAAAATGGAAGTAATAACCAGTACCTCCCTCCCCAGGGTTGTTGTGAGAATCAAAGGAGGTAAAGTGCTGGGCAAACCTATTCAAATGCTAGCTATTATTACTAGGTAGACAAAACCCAGAAAGGTCCCTGCCTTCAAACCCCACAGGTCATCCAGGGGTTGGCTGGACTGTTAGATGATTTCTAAGGGCTCTTTTGGCTTTCATTTGCCTTGAGTCTATGCAGTTCAACAAATATTCAGGCTCAGGGTGAGATTATAGAGAAATAGTCCCAGACATCCAAAAGCTCTACTAGAGATAAGACAATACAGATAACCCTTAATATACAATATTTCAAAATAAGTGTGTAGAGAAGCTCTTCTTTATTTCAAACTAAAATCTTATCCCTTTAGTAACCTCTCCCTAGGTTATTCTTAATAATGCACCCTAGCACATGGGTACATACACAGACACATAGCCAGACAGACATACATACACACACACACACACACACACACACACACACACACACAAGGTTATACTCAAAAAGCTCTATTATTCTTCTTTCACTTCAGATAGGTGAAGATAGCCAATCACTTCCCTCCCACCTCTTCCCTCTTCCACTCTACCAATCAAAGAGTATTTAAGCACCAATAGTTTGTCAGGCACAGTGCTAGGACCTGAGGATACAAAGACAAGAATAAAATCCTACTAGCCCTCAAGGTGCTTACATCCTTTTTGGAGGATGCAGAATCATAGATAAGTAAATAGAGGTACACACATACACACACACACACACACACACACACACACACACACAAAATTCATAGCAGTGGAGTGTAGAGCAGAGGCATTAGTAAATTGTAGGGTGTAGGAAAGGCTTATTGTAGGAGGTGGCAGAAGATGAGCCTCGAAGGGAGCTAGGGATTTTAAGAGGCCAAGCAAGTCAACAAGCATTTATTTGGGGCCTATTATGTGCCAAGCACTAAGCTAAGTGCTGAGGATGCAAAGAAAAGCACAAGCATGAGGGGGGATGGGGAACAATTCTGACCTAAAGACTAAACATTCCTGTTATACAGGTGAGAAAACTGAGACCCTGAAAGATCAGGTGGCTTGCCCAGGGTTACAAAGCAGGACAGGGGCAGATTTTAAAACCCAAATTCCCCAATTCTCAATCCACGATGCATCATCTGGTTGTCCCCCCCCACCCCCACCCCCCACCCCAGCCCTGGTTACCATGTACCTATATGTCCAATTGTTGCCCCCTTTATAGTGTAAATCCCTTGAGGGTAGCAACTGTTTCACTTTTATTTCTGCAAGCCTAGTGCCTAACAGTGCCTAGTACCTAGCAAGTGCCCAATAAATGCTCGATGATTGATGCATAAAGCATCCAATGATAAAATAGCCAAACTTTATATAGAGCTTTAGAGGTAGAGGGGTAGGGACTGGTTCTGGGATTTTATTGGCATAGGCAACTTCCAAAAGAGAAAACTCCCATTGCAAATACAGGTTTAGCTTAAAACATTGAGAATTCAGTGACTTGCCCTGGGTCACAAAGCCAGGAAGTATATAGCAGGGGAAGGACTTGATTTCCCCACCCCTTCTCCCACCCTCCCTTCTTAGCCCCTAGGCCACCTCAAATTCCACTCTGCCATACAGGCTTTCATATTCATATATTTCCACATATTTTACTTCAAGGTTTATAAAATGCTTTCCATAGGATTACGGATGTGACTGGTAGCAACTAATTCCCCCAATAATAATAACTATTAGCAATGCCCCTGGCACTATGGAGCTAGCTCTAGGATCCCAAGATCCCCTTATCTTTTGTGGTCATGGGACATGCTCAGAGCTGTGCTTCAATGAATGAATGAAAGGCTCCAAGCCCATGTCTCTGGCTGATCCCATTTCTTCTATCTCCTATGATAGGCACTCAATATTCCTCTCACCTCTGCTGGTTGAAATCTCTAACTTTCTTTCCAGACCCAGCTCAAATGTCATACACACCAAGAAAGCCTTCCAGCATTGCTACCCCTATGTTTCCTGCAACCGGGCCGGCAGTGACCCCTCCTTCCCGAAATGGTCTCACCATCTCTGGACAGTAAGCCCCCTACACACAGGAATGAGGTTTTAATAGATCTTTGCTGGTCCATCTTCTCTTCACCCAACACTGAAATACCCTTCCTAAAGCATGTCAGTATCTTATTCCAAAACTTCGAGGGCTCTCTGATACCTCCAGACCAGCATCCAAACTGCTCAGCTGAGCAGTGAATGTCTTTCAAACTCTCAATCCAATCTACCTTGTCTAGCCTTTTTTTTTTTTAATTTGGCTCCCATTCACACACTAAGGTCTGGCCAAACCAGATGGATGCCTCCCAGATTTCATTCTACCCTCAAGTCTCTGTTCAAAGAGGTAGACCAGCCCCCTTGGAGGAATGGCCTTCCTCCCCATTTTCACCTGTTGAAATCTTTCTCTTCCTCCAATGCCTAGTTCAGATGCCACCTGCCAACTTCTCCTTGAAGACTTCTCTGATGCCACCCTGCCCTCCACCTGAAAGCATTCTCTCCTCTTCAAACTTTCCTGGAGTTCTTTGTCTGGGTCTCCTTTTGACTTGTGTGCATTTGGAATCCCCCCTTATTAGACTATAAGCTCCCAGAAGGCAAGGTTGGGGCTGAACCTGGTCTCATTGGCTGGAATGGAAATATAGACACTTCATAAATATTGAATGTAACTAAATTTGCATCCCAGCAAAGGGCTCAGCTCGGGGGACTGGGCTAAGGTGGTGGTGATGGGGGGGGGTCTATACCAAATTCTCTGTAGGTCTCAGCTCAGCCATACATTAAGACCTCTGGCTGACTTTTTGCAGCAAGCCCTGAGGTAAACAAGGGAGGAAAAGATGAGACTGGGTTGGGCTGCTCTCTCCTTCCAGGGCCCCAAGGCTCAGGGCTGGGTTCCCTCTGGGATAGGGCTTTGTCTGCTTGTCAGGAGTTTCTAAAGCAAAAGGGGCCAAGTTTCAGGCCAAGCCAAGGGTGGGGCCTCCTCAGTCATGGGGTAAGAGGGCTAGAGAAGGTTCCTAGAATCACCAACTCAGATCTGGAAAGGAACTCAGAGATATGGAAGCTCATTTTACAGAGAGAGAAACTGAGGCCCTGACTGAAAAAAGATCACCCAGAAATTCAGGGGCAGGGCAAGGCAGAACTCACATTTGTGGACGTCCCAGTTATAGCACTACTCTCAGAGATTTAGGTTTGCTGGGATGGGACTATGATTTAGCCAGAGATCCCAAAGCACCTTTCTAAAACTGGGAGCTCAACGCACCACATATCTCAGGCTATAAGTTCTTAGAGCAATGCCCAGAGGCACTGCGCAGGGGAGCATGCCCCAACTCAGCTTCCTAGGGAGCAGTGCCACCACCCAAACTGGAAAGGGGCTGGCCTGTTGTTCTCTAAGTAGAAATACTAGTGGAGAGAGACAAGGAAAGAGAACTAACCCATTGGAGGGGATGGGGAAGCTAGCATCCCTCTTGACCTCAGTTTCTTTCTCTGTAAAATGTGAGTTGCACTAAATAGCTTCTGAGGGTTCCTTCAAGCTCTGAAATCTATAAGTCTCAATTCAAATCTCACCTTCTACAAGAAGACTTTTCCCAGTCTCCCCCCCCCCCAAGTGCCTTCTTTGGAGATGACCTGACACCCCACCACCCCCACGGGCATAGTTATATTCATGTTGTCTTCTCCCATTAGGATGTGAGCTCCTTGAGGGAAAAGCCTACGTTTTTGCTTTTCTTTGAATCCCTGGTGCTTAGCACTGTGCCTGGCACAAAGTGGGTACTTAATATTGTTGACTGACAGAATGGGGTAGGGGGAGAGTGGGAAGCGATTAGCCCACGGCTCTATGTGAAAGCATGAGGGAGTTAGCCAATGGCTCTCTTAGCAGTGATGAGGAGGTGGGTATCACTCTATGAGGAAGGATGGGGAAGAGGCTGCCCATGAATTAACAAGCATTTTACTCCAGAGAGGAATCCGGGCTGGGGGAAGGGTCAGGGTATGTTGCGGTGAAGGGGAGAGGAGTGGTGTGTTAGCCTATGGCACTTTGAGGAGGCAGGAAAAGGGGAGAGGAGCTCCTGACTTTATGGTCAGAGCTTTCAGAAAGGGAACTAGCTTTAGACTCTAGGAGGAAGGATGGGGAGGAGTAAGACATAGCTTAATGGGGAAGGGTGAGAATGGAGATGGGGATGGAGATGGGGATGGAGATGATGAGGATGGAGATGGGGTTGAGAATGGGGGGGGCAGGTATCTTGGCTTGAAAGGCCTAAGACTGAAGAAGCTCCAAGCCTCCCCTTCCCCAAGAGCCATTAAGGCCCTGCTGTCTAGTCTCTCTGCTTTTCTGAGCACCTGTGCCTGGTGGGGGACCAGGGGGAAGGGGCGGGGGGGGGGGTGGCCACAGGCCCTGCCCTTGAGTATTAAGAAGGATGTGGCCCACAGTAGAGTCTAGCTCCCTCCATCGATTTCCCCACCTTTAAGCAGCATCTTCCAGGAGCATAGGCGAGAGAAGGGCTGTAACCAGGAGGCCAGGCCCACCACCACCTGCGGGATGCCTTCCAACTCAAGCTCTCCAAGCCCCTCATCCCCCCCACCCCCGCCAGAGGTGCAATGGGGGCAGCCGACAAGGGGTGGGGCTAGCCATTGACAGCCTCAGCCCCAAGAAGCAGACACAGGTTATTATACCAGGCCCTTTCACTACTGAGGGAGAGTGAGGGGCCCCCAAGCCTGGAGCCTCAGACTCCAGGTTTCTAAACCTTCAGTCTGCAGACCGACCCCTGGTTCCTGGACCCTCCACCCCAAAGCGCCCGATCTCCGGTTCCAGATCTTTAGCTACCGGATCCTCAGACACCCCCCCCAGCCCTAAGATACCCCAGGCCCTGGACCCCCAAAGCCCAGATCCTCCAGTCTTTTACACCTCCAGCTCCCCAACACCCCCAGACCCCGGCTACTCACTCCATGGTTCCCGCAGTCCGGGCGTCTGAGGCTGGCAAGAGGAGGAGGAGGAGGAGGATAAGAAGGAGGGGGAGGAGGAGGCAGCGGCGGCCAGGGAGGGGCTGGGGGAGGGTGGGGCGAAGGGGGAGCAGCCTCGGGGCTGAGGGCTGGGCCCCCGGGGCGGGGGCGGCGGCCGGGCCCAGGTGGACAGCGGCGGGGAGGAGCCAGAGCCGAGATCTCCTGGCTCCCGAGGTGCCCCCCGCGCCCGCAACGCCCTCACTCCCCGCCGGCTAGCGCAGGGGCACGGGGCTGGTCCGGGCTGCGGGGCGCGGGGGCGGGGGCAGGCGGAGGCTTCGAGGCATCGCAGCCGGGAGAGGAGAAGAGGGAGGGGAGGAGAAGGAACGGTGTTATTGTCCGGGGCGGGCGGAGGCACGGAACGAGGGAGCTAGCGAGCGCGCGCGGAGGAGGGCTGAGCTGCGGTGGGCTGGGCTGGGCTGGGCTGGGGCTGGGGCTGGGCCGGAGCCCGGGAGCGGTACGACGCCGCCTCCTACCGGCTATCGGTCATCACTACAACCTGCCCACTCCCCACCCCAGCCCCTACCCCTCAAAGCGCCCTCCCACCCCCATCCCATGGAAAGACTTTCCTCTGGTATAAGAGCCAGCAAATGTCGCCTTGTACCCAGGTACCAGAGAGCCGGGCCCCAGTGGGAGCGAGCCTGGGGATAAGCTCATCTCTGCAGGACATTACAGAGGAGGGAAACTGAGGCCCAAAATGGGAAAAGGGACTTAGCGAAAGGGGAGCAAGGAATTATAAAATCTCTGAAACTCTGAGACTTCAGAGGGTCCAACTTGTATCCAAACATCAATCTCCTTAATATCTCCTGGCACTGACTTGCTGTGTCATCTTTGCTGCCTCAGTTTCCTCAACTGTAAGATGAAGAGGTCACAACCAACGTGGGAATTTGTTTTATTAGATTACTCATATTTGTTGCAGAGGCTTTGTTTTTCTTGTTTCCAGTATGGGTGGAGTAGTAAGAGGCAAGCGTAGATGGGGATTGGGTAGCAAAATGAAAAGACGGTAATTGAGGCATCCTTTCTTTTCTTTTCTTTTTTTAATGGAGAGAAAAGAACAGAAAGAAGGAAATTTTTGCTTTACAAATATTAACTCATTTGATCCTGAAACAACCTTGGATGCTATTATCACCATCCCTGTTCTAAAGATAAGGAAGCTGAGGCAGACCAAGGTTAAATGACTTGCCCAGATAGTAAGTATCTTAGTCAGATAATAAGTATCTGAGGGCACAGTTGAACTCAAGTCTTCCTGACTCTAGGTCTACCTAGACAGGGTACCACTGTACAACAAGCTACTTCATTTGGGGTTTGTGTTCCGAATAAAAAGCAAGAATAATTTTAAAATTAACTAAAAGGAGGCAGTGGGTCTTTAAGGAACTTCCATTAGACATCTCTTAGTGCCCCCCTCTCTCTGACACTGCCACCATCCAGATGTAGCCTCATGCCTGAACAATGATAACAGCTTGCTAGCTGGTTTCCCTGCCTCAATTCTCTCTGCACTCCAGTCCATCCTCCACATAGTCACCAAATTGATCTTCTCAGATCACAGCTCTGACCATGTCACCCTCAAATGTTTACTCAGATAAACTCCAGTGGCTCCCTATCACTTCCAGGATCAAGTGTTTTCTTTCTTTCTTTTTTTATTAATTTATTTTAATTTATCAACAATCACTTCCACAAACCTTTGAGTTTTAGATTTTTCTCCCCCTCCCCCCCAAGACAGTGTGCAATCTGATATAGGCTATATGTATACCTTCCTATTAAAAATTTTCACATTAGTGATGTTGTAAGGAAGAATTAGAACCAATAGAAGGAACCACAAGAAAGAGAAAACAAAGCAAAACAGAAGAAAAAAATAGCAAATAGTATGCTTCGATCTGCATTCAAACTCCACAGTTCTTTCTTTGGATGTGGATAGCATTTTCCATCATGAGGCCTCTGGAGATGTCTAAGATCTTTGCATTACTGAGAAGAGCTAATTCTATCAAAATCAGCACAATGTGGCTGTCACTGTGTACAACGTTCTCCTGATTCTGCTCACTTCACTCAGCATCAGTCTGTGCAAGTCTTTCTAGGTTTTTCTGAAGTCTGCCTGCTCATCATTTCTCATAGCACAATAGTATTCCATTACATTCATATACCACAACTTGTTCAGCCATTCCCCAATTGATGGGAATTCACTCCATTTCCAATTCTTTGCCACCACAAAAAGAGCTGCTATAAATATTTTTGTACCTGTGGGTCCTTTTCCCATTCGTATGATTTCTTTGGGATATAGCCCTAGAAGTGCTATTGCTGGATCAAAGGGTATGCACATTTTTATAGCCCTTTGGGCATAGTTCCAAATTGCTCTCCAAAATGGTTGGATCATTTCACAACTCCACCGACAATGCATTCATGCTCCAATTTTCCCACATCTTCTCTAACATTTATCATTTTCCTGTTTTGTCATGTTGGCTAATCTGATAGACATGATATGGTACCTCAGAGTCATTTTGATTTGCATTTCTCTAATCAATAGTGATTTAGAGCATTTTTTCATATGACTATAGATGGCTTTAATGTCTTCATCTGAGAATTGCCTGTTCATATCCTTTGACCATTTATCAATTGGGGAATGACTTGTATTCTTATAAATTTGACTTAATTCTCTATATATTTTAGAAATGGTTGTAAAAATTCTTTCCCATCACTTGACACTTACTAACTGGGTGAGATGGGAGAGTCACTTAACCCTGATTGCCTCACCAAAAAAAAATCTTTCCCAATTTTCTACTTTACTTCTAATCTTGGTTGCATTGGCTTTGTTTGTACAAAAACTTTTCAATTTAATGTAATCAAAATTATCCATTTTGCATTTCATAATGTTCCCTATCTCCTGTTTGGTCATGAATTCTTTTGTTCTCCATAAATCTGATAGATGAACTATTCTTTGCTCTCCCAGTTTGCTTATAATATCAGCCTTTATATCTAAATCATGAACCCATTTTGACTTTATTTAGGTATATGGTTTAAGATGTTGATCTGTGCCTAGTTTCTGCCATGCTCTTTTCCAGTTTTCCCAGCAGTTTTTGTCAAATAGTGAGTTCTTATCCCAGAAGCTGGAGTCTTTGGGTTTATCAAATAGTAGATTACTATGGTCATTGACTAGTGTTTCTTGTATACCTAACCTATTCCACTGATCCACCACTCTATTTCTTTTCTTTTTCTTTTTTTTTGGCAAGGCAATTGACTTGCCCCAAGTCATACAGCTAGTGTCAAGTGTCTAGTCTGAGACTGGATTTTCCTGCTGGCTCCAGGGCTGGTGCTTTATCCATTGCGCCACCTAGCTGCCCCCACCACTCTATTTCTTACCCAGTACCAAGTAGTTTTGATGACTGCTGCTTTATAATACAATTTAAGATCTGGAACAGCTAGGCCACCTTCCCCTGCATTTCTTTTCATTAGTTCCCTTGATATTATGGACCTTCTGTTCTTCCAAATGAATCTTGTTATTATTTTTTCTAACTCTATAAAATAATTTCTTGGTAGTTTGATTGGTATGGCACTGAATAAGTAAATTAGTTTAGGTCTTTTTTAAAATAGTATTTTTTTTCCTGTTACATGTAAAGACAATTTTTGACATTCATTTTTTAAAATAAAATTTTGAGTTCCAAATTTTCTCTCTCCCTCCCTTCCCTCTCCCCTCCCCAAGATGATAAGCAATCTGATATAGGTTATACGTGGGTAACCATGTAAAACATATTTCCATATTGGTCATGTTGTGAAAGAAGAAACAGTTTGCAAAAAAAAAATGCAGTTTGCAAAAAGAAAAAACCATGAACAAAAATAAAGAAAGTGAAAATAGTATGCTTTATCTGCATTTAGTTTCCATTGGTTCTTTCTCTGGATGTGGATGGCATTTTCCATCATGAGTCCTTTTCAATTGTCTTGGATCATTGCATTGCTGAAAAGAGCTAAGCCAATCATAGTTGATCATCTCATCTCATAATGCTATGTACATTGTTCTCCTGGTTCTGCTTACTTTACTAAGTCTTTCCAGGTTTTTCTGAAACCTGCCTGCTTGTCATTTTTTATAGCACAATAGTATTCCATTACATTCATAAACCAAAACTTGTTCAGCCATTCCCCAACTGATGGGCATCCTCTCAATTTCCAGTTCTTTGCCACCACAAAACAGAGCTGCTATAAATATTTTTGTACATGTAGGTCCTTTCCCCTCTTTTATGATCTCTTTAGAATACAGTAGTGGTATTGCTGGATCAAAGAGTATTCACAGTTTGATTACCCTTTGGGCATAGTTCCAAATTGTTCTCCAGAATGGTAGGATCAGCTCACAACTCCACCAACAATGCATTAGTATCCCAATTTTCCCACACGAGATCAAATGTTTTCACTGACCCCACAGCTGGAATTCTTTCCCTCATCTCTATCTCCCTTGGCTTCCTTCCCATCCCAGCTAAAATCCAACCTTCTGAAGAAGCCTTACCCAGTCCCCCTTAATGCCAATGCCTGCCCTGTATCTATCTTCTTTGCATATAGTTGTTTGCATGCTGCTGTCCCCAATAGACTCTGGGCTATTTGAGGTCAAGGACTGGTTTTTGCCCTTCTTTATATCCAACTTCCTGCCCCACCCCCATTGCTACTAGCTCTGACCGGGAGGGCCAGATAGAGCAAGTGTAATCCTTTTTCTCTGTAACAGCTCTTCAAATACTTGGAAACCACTGTTATGCCCCACCTAAGTCTGGGGAGGGGGGAGTGGAGGGAGAGAATGGTGGAATGAAGATAATCATAATAATACTAGTAATTAATAAGCTAGCCATGACCTGGGGCCTAGAATTATTCATCAGAAGGTCACTTTCTTTCAGGGATTGACAGATGACAAATCCCATTATTAAACATACAGAACTCAAAATATCCGAGAGAACTCAACCAGCAGACTGTACCATTGTCAGACCATTGCCACAGACAAAACTGTTGTCCATACTTGCCTCAATATAGCATTGATCCATAAGGACAAAAACAAAATTTTTCCCAGATATCACCATGCCAAATACTCATCATCTCCAAGGGGTTGTTATTCAGTCATTTTTTAGTCATGTCCAGCTCTTTGTGACCCAATTTGGAGTTTTCTTGGCAAAGATACTGGAATGGTTTGCCATTTCCTTCTCCAGCTCGTTTTACAAATGAGGAAACTGACATAAACAGGGTGAAG